TTTGAATAAAAATAAGGCACTGCTCATCACCTGGCTAATACCATCCCTACAGTGAAGCATGGTGTTGGCAGCATCATGCTGTGGGGATGTTTTTCTGCTGCAGGAACTGAAAGACTAGTCAAGATAGAGGGAAAGATGAATGCTGCATGTACAGAGACATCCTGAATGAAAACCTGCCTCAGACTGGGGCGACGGTTCATCTTCCAGCAGGACAATGACCCAAAGCACACCAGCAAAATATCAATTGAGTGCCTTCACAACAATTCGGTGAATGTCCTTAAGTGGCCCAGCCAGAGCCCAGACCTAAATCCTATTGAACATCTCTGAAGAGATCTGAAAATGGCTGTACACCGTCGCTTCCCATCCAACTTGATATAACTTGAGAGGTACTGCAAAGAGGAATGGACAAAAATTTCTAAAGTCTGGTGTGCCAAGCTTGTGGCATTATGTTCAAAAACACTTGAGACTGCAATTGCTGCCAAAGGTGCATCAACAAAGTATTGAGAAAAGGCTGTGAATACTTATGTTTCAGGTTTTTTGTTTTTAATAAATTTGCAACAATATAAAAAAAATATTTTTTCACATTGTCATTATGGGGTATTGTGGGTAGAATGTTGTGGAAATAAATTAATTGAATCCATTTTGCAATAAGGCTGTAACATAAAAGTTTTGGAAAAAGTAAAGTTCTATGAATACTTTCCAGATGCACGGTATATCAAATTGGTTTTATCTTGTAACCATCAATATAAAATAACAGTTCTTCATTAGATTACTAGAAATTGTATAACTGTTTACATTTTATACTTTTGTTGCCTCGATTACTTATATAGTCCACATGGCCACAAGTCATGATCAGCACTGTAAACCAGCGTTATTAGGGATCACACACAATCATATACTTAAAAATAGAAAATAGCCTTCCTGTTAATTAACATTTCCTAGAATTTTGTGATTCAGATGTGTTTTCAGGTTATGGGACATTGTGGGATAGTTCACATTAAGGTACTTTGATCTCATACAAGTTTAAGAACTTATTCAGTTCAGTTTAATTTACATATAATGGAAAGTGTTAATCAACGGAAAGTTTTTGCAGCATGTATACTTTCAAACATTCCCACTTTGACCATTGTGGGCATCAATATTATTAATTTACCAATATGTACAAATTTCATTCATTTATTATTGATTTTTTAATTAATACTCTATGATTCCATTCATTTTTTCATTCATTTGTCCATTTGTTTACCGTTTCATTCATTATTTTCAAAGGTCTTTGCTGGTCCATTTCGACAAGCTACATTTTAGTCAAGCTTAGGCGTGAGATAAATGAATTATGCTGCTACAGACGTTTTCTTTACTTTCCAATCTAAAGCAGATATCACATGTGACGGATTCGCAAACTCAATTATGCCCGACCTGAGTAATACATACAATGAAAAATGAGCAGCGTCATTCATAATCTTCCTTTCATATTCCTGGCGGTGTTCAGCGTGCCATTTTCAGACAGAGGGAATGAAGTTTGCCTTAGAAATACAGCTCACATTCTATTAAACGGGGCATTAAACTAGAGGCCTGCGTGTAGCCGTCATCGCAACCAGCGCTTTGAAATGAACATAATCTCTTATACCGAGCCTGACATAAATTATGGATCAGATATCAAATACAATTTCTCTCAAAGACAGAAGTGGAAAGACTTATGAGAGGCGTCACATAGAAAACCCAAACCAAGTGTCCTATTCAACGATGGACTAAAACCAAAGAAAAGAAATACGAGCTGGTTGAAAGAGTCTTTCTCAATGCCATTACCGCATCTCCAGTGAAAGGAAAACTGCTGACAAACGATGCCGATGAGAGAAAGACATTCACGTTTTCGAGTTTTTCAGTGCTACTCTCATGCTCCTAGTTGTCATGGTGACTAACAAGAGCATCTCAGCATCATCCTGAGAGCAGCAAACAGTGAATATTGAAAACAAGCCGCTGGCGAGAGGCCTGCCGTGTCCTGCCGCCGATCTGGAAGTGCGATAAAGGTGCAGCCGGAGAGCTTCAGGGCATGTCATTCATCCTCCGTCCAGACTGTTCCTACATTCATCGATTCATTCCTCTGTCAGGTTTATCCTTCTAGTTACCCTTGCTTTTTTCCCCATCCATACATTGATTTTTTTCCTCCCATCCATCAAAATTTGGTCTCAGTAATAAAAAAATAAAATCAAGAGCAAGTACAAATTTCATTCATTCATTCATTCATTCATTCATTCATTTTTTTTGGCATGGTTAATTTTAGTCATTCGTTTGTTCATTCCTTTTGTCCTGACTATGTGTCCACCGTTCCCTGCATTATTTTTACCCTTTAAATTATTCCTCATTTTTTATTGAGTCATCCATCGCACTTGTTCATTTATGAAGTTGATCCTTTTTACTGTCCTTTATATATTATTTGTCCGTTCATCCATCTCTTCCTCTCTACTTCCTCCGTTATTGGATTTATACTGTCCATTAATGCAGTTCATCCTTCACTACCCTTCATTTTTATATTCATCCATGAATTCAGCTGACATTATTACACATTATTGCCCCTTTCTGAGCATCAATTCAACCTTTCTTTCTTTCTTTCTTTCTTTCTTCCTTTCTTCTTTCATTTTTTGCTTGCTTTCATCTTTCATTCCTTCCTTAAACTGTATATAATTCAATATTTTTTTGACATTTTCCATTCATAAAAACATTGCATGGGAAAGCATCTTAACTATTGCTATTTTTATTAATATGTATTTTGTTTTCAATTTAATTTGTTAATTTAAGCTTCTTTTATTATTATTTTTATTGTTTCATATTTTTTTTGATTGTCTATTTAGTTTTAATCACTACGCTATTGGCACCGACTGTCTATATAGCTTTAATTAATTTAAATTTTTTTATGAATACACAGTTTATATTTTAGTAGTATTTTTATGTTCATTAAAACTAAATAAAAATGGTAAATATTGAATCAGTTCAAGGGTTCTCAACCTTTTTCACTTCGAGGCCCACTTTTTTCTCCGATTAATTTTTGAAAGCCCACCTGTCTTTATATATATATATATATATATATATATATATATATATATATATATATATATATATATATATATAATCAGAGAACATGATAAAGTGCATTACTTTGATCATTTTAATATAGCAGACAATTAATGAAATCCAAAAATTATTGTATAATATTGAGAGTAATTTTAGGATGCAGGATCACTGAGGCCCACTTGTGAGAATCCCCAAATTAGTTAATAGTTGAAGTAAAATTACTAATTTCTTTTATTTTATTCAATTAAAAAATACAACCCCAAAAGCTTATAATTTTAGATAAATGCTGTTCTTTTGCATTGTACACAGTGTTTTCAACACTAACAATCATGCCCGTAGCCAGCCTGGTGAATGGGGTGGCTCTTTTTCAGAAAAAGTTGACCTTCTTGCAGTTATTCACCTCATTTTCTATTTAATTTTGAGATTTAAATACTACATTTTCATGACATTTTAAGCTGTATTTTTAGCTGGCTTAGCTTGTTGGTTGGTCATCGTAACCGCACTGTTTGATGTACCAGTAATAATTTTTAAAGATTTAGAATAAAGAATAAATATATTTTACTTTATACTAACATGTATATCATATATCATTATAAAATATAATAGGAATCTGTTAAAGTTTAAATGAAAAACTGTACCTTTTTGTGTCATTTATTAAGCAAATAACAAACTGACAGCACAGTCAACTTTCCTCAGTCAGAACTTACCCTTTTGAATAATAAAAGATGTAAACATAATAGAATAAATAATAATAATAATAATAATAATAATGTAGAGCTTCACGGTTTTTGTAGCCTCTCTTGCAAAAAAGTACATTTAAAAATTCATGCATAACAACAATAGCCAAATTAGGATTCAAATTACTTTTAACATGGGCGGCTTTTGATGCTTTATACCTTTTTATTTATTTATTTTTATTTATTTATTTATTTATTTTTTGTTTAAAAAAAAGGTCCAAAATTTAGAATAATGTTACTTGTAAAACGTTTTCTCCATGTAAAAACAATAGAGTGGTGAAAGATGACTTCACTTACATCAGATTGTGTGTTTTCTTGCACAGTTGGATGATGGAAAAATATATGTTTTCATTGAACTAAACTGATCACACAGAAGCGACAACAACTAAAGGATTCCACTTGCTCTTAAAGACCAGTTTGATGGGTTATTTTCACTATTTATGAGGGCATACCAGTCAAATTAGGACAAATGAGCTCATGTATGGGACAAATTCTGAACCTTTGTCAGTGAGAGGTGGGTCTTCCGAACCACCCAAACCCCCCTTGGCTACAGGTCTGTAATAATATTTGGTGCTCAGTAATAGATCGATAGATAGATAGATAGATAGATAGATAGATAGATAGATAGATAGATAGATAGATAGATAGACAGACAGACAGACAGACAGACAGACAGACAGACAGACAGACAGACAGACAGACAGACAGAAAGATAGATAGATAGATAGATAGATAGATAGATAGATAGAAAGATAGAAAGATAGATAGATAGATAGATAGATAGATAGATAGATAGATAGATAGATAGATAGATAGAACTCTATAATTGCAATCATTAATTTCCATTACTTTTTCATGCATCCATCTCTGTCTTTCCCACAGTATTAATTCATCAATACCTTCATTTACTCAGGCCATTCTATTCTTTAGTTTCTAGTCATTCTGTAAATTACAGCCTTTCTTTAGCGTTCACTGAGATGCAGTGTTGTCATTTCTGTTTAACGTTCAGCCGTGCAGGTTTACTTAAGAGTCCCTTAAGCATTCAGCACAAATCACCCACAGCACCCCAAGTGGAGAGGTGACTAATGGAAGTCCCATCTATCACTCTTTATCTCTCGCTGCTTCTCTTTATCACTTTCACTCAGACTCCTCCTTTATCAGCCTGCGCTTTTTTTTCCCCTTCTCCTCCTGCAGGTTCTTCAGCAACATAACTCTATCCGGACGGGACTATTCCTTTAATAATGACGGTTATCTGGCCAATCCGCTCCTGGATGTGATCTCCTACACCGCGGGAAGAGGCTGGGAGGAGGTACGGCCGGAGACATTAGTATGCTTAAATGCGTTTAAGATATTCATGCTTATCGTTCAACTGTTTTAAATGCAGCGCCCAAGCGAGTTCACATTTCGCCTCACCATTTAAATGCAATATAAATGAAATGTGAAGAATGCATTTGAAATGAAAGCCTGTGTGTCGCATATTGAAGGGGTTGAAGTGCATTAAAGGATGTATATATGCAGATTTAGTTTAATATGCGTTGACATGGTGGTTTAAGTTGTATTAGAATTTGGAATTAGGCTCTTATGAACTTGTTTTAGTACTACTGAGATACTAATTTAGTGTCTAGTAATTATTAAAGTATTTAAGAGTAATTTTATATATATTTTTGAATTTGAACTTTAGTCTTGTATTTGATTTAGTTTAGATGATTGTTATTATTATTAATATTATATTATTAATATGCCTATAGTTTTAATTAATCTTTAATTTCAGCTTATTTTCATTTTATAATATATATGGGGTAGGGCTGCACGATTCCGGCTAAAATGAGAATCACGTTTTTTTTTTGCTTAAAATCAAGATCACTATTTTCTCATGATTCGGTAAATGTAATATAAAGGTTAACATGAGTAGGCTATTATTACTGTTAATTTTCAAACATATGTTAAAACATCAATAATAATTTTAGGTCTATGTGTAGCTCTACTGTTTGTTAAAATGCCACATTTTGCATAGACTTTGAATGGTTTACTTGAACAGACTTTAAATATGTCCTAGTTGTTAATTCACAGTAAAGTGATGACATCAGAATGCAACTATTCATAATTATAAAGTTGAATTATTGAGTTTAAGACATGCTTGCGATCTTACATTGACAACATTAATAGACCATTTTTTACTGGTAAAATCAGACATTTGTCATTATCAGATTCCCTCTTGCATTATATTCAAAATTATTTAGGTTAAAGTAGTTATAATGACACTGTTAAACATTTATTTTTATGCACATAACTTTGTGTTCGCTATAAAAGAAAAAACATCAAATGGTTGTCGGAATCATAACTTTAAAATGCAATATGATCATTTAAATGATGTGCGTGCCCATGCGGCTCATTTTATGGCTGCCGTCACTTTGAGGAAAAAACATACATGAAAATCATACTTTCCGCCAAGCTCCCAAAGAATCTGTTTTATTACCTGTTATTCACAGCCTATGCAGGTTCTGTTCACTAAAGTAGACTAAATTGGTGGGTACTTGCACGTTGTCTTGGTAGTAAACAAACCGTGCGTCAGCTGACGTGTGATTTCGCGGCCGCAAATACGTCTTTACATGAAGGCAGAAATTACATTTTGGGGTGAATTATACCTTATAAATAGAGTATGTAACTCTATAAACGCCTTTTGTAGGTGTCCATGTTGCTAAGCAAAGTATGTAAAACAATGTGAAGACTTGTGCAACGACTTTTATGCTTCTCTGCTGAACTGCAGCTCTAATATGGGGAATCTTAGTTTTAATTTAAACTACAGTAGATGAAAATGACAACTATTTAATCCGCTAGTGTGACGTCACGCAAAGCAACTTTCAAGTCCAAATGCTATAATAAATTCTTAACAAAGCGATGTATTACTTTAAATCAAAAATCACTATCTATCTATCATCTATCTATCTATCTATCTATCTATCTATCTATCTATCTATCTATCTATCTATCTATCTATCTATCTATCTATCTATCTATCTATCTATCTATCTATCTATCTATCTATATATATATATATATATATATATATATATATATATATATATATATATATATATTCGGATTTTGCATGTTCTCCCTGTGTTTGCGTGGGTTTCCTCCGTGTGCTACAGTTTCCCCCACAGACCAAAGACATATGGTACAGGTGAATTGGGTAGGCTGAATTGTGCCAGAGGTGGGTTGCAGCTGATAGGGCATCCACTGCGTAGACCGTGTGCTGGATAAGTTGGTGGTTCATTCCTTTGTGGCGACAGCTGATTAATAAAGGTACTAAGCCGAAAAGAAAATGAATGAATCAATGAATGAATATATATACATGCCTAATATCTAATGGCCTGAAAGTTATACATTTTTTTAGAATTTTTTTTTAGAAATTGGTAAAATATTGGTGTCTGTGATGAAGCATGTCTAGAAACTACTGTTACTACTGTTGTTTGTACACCATGATTTTATATAAAATTCACTTTAAGCTGAGATATGAATAAAAAGTTAACAAATATTTTCTCTATTCAAATGAGTAGCGGCTTGGACTCGAAAACAGTATTCCATGTGTCACGACTTAACAAGTGGATTGCCAACTAGCTAAAATAAAATAATTTTAAGAGTTTTAGGGCTCTATTTTAATAATCTAGGCGCAAAGTCTAAAATGCAGGGCCCAAAAGCATTAAGGGCTTGTCCAAATCCACTTTTGCTATTTTAAGGATGGAAAATACACTCTGCGCTGAGGCGCATAGTCTAACTGGGTTGAGCTTATTCTCTTAATGAGTTATGGGTGTGTTTTGAGAATAAACCAATCAGAGTCTCATCTCCCATTCCCTTTAAGAGTCAGTTGCGTCCCGCCATAGCAAATTTGCTATTTACATGGCGGACTTTGTAAGTGGAAACGCTTCACCGGAAGTTAATAGTTAAACAGACCATCTGCAGCTCAAGGATAAAGAACGAGCCTCCTTCAATCAGCCTTTGCTCCTTTAATATCTCTTTCTCTCTTTCGTGGATAAGGAAACTGTGTAGTTCGCACAGACAACCATTAACCTACATAATTAATTTTGTTTGTTAAGCTCAAAGATTTTTTTCAAAACTATTTCTAAATTCAGTTCTAATTTTCAGCAAATTAATAAATGAACAATAATAACGAAGTGTGGTCAAAAACTGAGTTATATCCAAACACACATGCTACTGTATGCCACATATGGTCCAAAACCTGACAGGTGGACACATCTAAGCTTGTTTTAAATAAAACAATTTTAAATATGAATATAATCAATAATACTGCTAACAATTACATCATACCAAAGCAAGTTGTCATGAATAAACTGAAAAAAGCCACCCGAGATGAAGAAGGCATGGAGGCAGGGGTTTTTATATTTATGTAGAAAATAATAATTTTTGTAATCATTTAATCTATTAATTCTTTTTCATTTGTAAAGATATTTGTGTATTGCTCTACATCCTACTGTTTAAAGCAATGTGTAAGTGAGGTGCATAAAAAGGTGCACTGTCCTGAACTTTAGATCTGCTTTCAGCTGGTCTATTGCACAGTCTATGTTAGTTTTAAAGTACGAGGAACACTAAGGTTGTGTTGGTTTGAAAAAAAATAGTAACACGTCGGGGCAAACATGTCTTGCGCCGTATTGTGCCGGGTGTATGATAGGACCCCTAGTCTTTAAGTTAGAATTTATTTGTTTTCAAGTAGCGATGATGAACAATTTTACTCTTATGGTCTTAGTTTTGACTAACTATGTGTATTAATGACCTTTGACAATATGACAGCAATACTACTAATGTTGTTGAGGAATTATTAAAACTCAAAGGGTTTTGTCTGTTAATGCACTACGCATGTTTTTATTATCTAACATTAACAATATTTATATTAGTTCAAATAATCATTTAACTAACTATGAAGTGTTTCTTAATTAGTTAGTAGTATCTATTAAGTTTACTTTGTATTTGACAGAATTGACAAATGTTTTTTTTATTCAGCACAAATACATCCATCATGTGGAGAATTATCAAACTACTGAACATTGCCAGTTTCTATTTACTCCTATGAAAAAGTCATAGTTAATGCATGGTAAGCAAACGACACCTACTGCAATGTGTTTGTCTATATGCTTATTTTTGTTTTACAGTGCAATGCACACCATTCCAACAAAGAGGAGTAGTTTGTGGGGCCATGCACTTGAAAGCAATTTAGTGGCAATTGCTAAAGATTGCACATTCTGCATGTTCCTTACAAATGTCAATAAGTAATGGGAAATAATAGATTTTCACTAGAACGTTTTCGGTTTTGGTTATTCAGGCACTTTTTGACAGTTGGAAATGGCTGTTTAAGGAGCTGCAGAAATAGCAAATCATTCATAATCAAGCTAGAACAAAAGTCTTTTTTAAATTTTAATTGCCAATTTACTGACAGATGGTTAGCACTTTGGATAGGTAGTCATGTGAAGTCACAAAGGTGCAGCTTTGCAGTTGTTTTAAAAAGCTTTGGCTGTCTTGTTGAAGAGTAGAACAGCTGACACTGGGAAGACAGCCATTTATATGTTTTACAGCTTCAAGTTTCAAAGTCAACGTCAGCACTAACTAGCTAACTGTCTTAAAAATGTCAGATAGGAAACAGATAAAGCTGTGGTCAAAAGTCTTGGCACTCTTGGTACAGTAACTATAAGCAAGTAAAGCTGTGAAAGTAAAAAAAAAAACAACAACAACTAAACCTTAATTGAAATAAAGCAATTAAATAAAGATTTGTTTTGAAATAGATGAATTTCTCCAGTTTGACATTGTTCAAAATTATTATAACACATTATGTTCTATGGGCTGCGACAAACCAAAGCCAATTGTTGGTAGCGTCGGGCCGTTGGTGAGCATCTGTCAGGTTAGTTTGTTAGGTTTGTTCCACACATCACCTCTTTTCAGGCTTACTTCAGTGAGGGTTTGCACGATTTAGCATGTAGAATCACTGTTAGTGCTGTTGCAGAGAGTGCAGTGTGGTAGTTCAGCTACAAATCAGAGCACATGGACAAATAGAAGGGCAAATCCAAAATTAGGAGTGAACACAAAGAAGCCGGCAGTCATTGCCTTGCTTTTCCTGAATAGTTGCAGATTATCACAAATATTTGCACAATTAAATCCTATTGTGGTGATCAACAAAGTGAAATGGTATGTAAACGATGCGTTGTTTTCGGCTTGTGTGCGTGCAGATACAGTTCTGGTTTCTCTTTGTTTATACAGTCTTTACAGATACTGCCACCCGCAGGTGTGGAAATACACACATAGACGCAGAAAACGTATTCTAGTTTCTGTCCTTTCGGTGTGTTCATGCACAGTTTTTTTGTCTAGACAGGACTAGACGCAGCAGATGAGAGAAGACAACACTGTAGGATTTCGTCACCGCTAGTACTTTGATGTCAGCTTGGTGTGTCCTGGGCTTAGAATGCCTAGTGAGGTTGGAGGAAACTTGGAGAGAGATTTGTGAGGAGTTTTTCGCTTACAGAATCACTCCAGATCCATCATGTTCTTTGGTCTAGGTTGGTGTTCTTTCCCCTTCAGTTCACCCACTCATAGGTCTCAGGTCAGGGGACTGGGATGGATGTGGCAGAACCTTACTTTCTGTGCTCGGTGACCTGTTTTTGTGTCAGTTTTGGTGCTTGTTTTGGAGTGTAGTCTTTTTGGAAGATCCATGTTCTGTTATATACTTCCGACGTAAGCGGTCGGGTTTTAATGGTTTATTTGTTAGTATTTGATAGAATCCATGATGTTGTTTGTCTTCCATAAAAACAGGCCCATAGCATTAAAGATCCTGCGATTCATTTTAAATGTGGACTAGGTGTACCTTTTTATCCCTGTGTGAAACAAACCCATCTTGTTTACTGCTGAAAATCTCTGTTTTAAGGTTGTATCTGACCATAGAAACATCTCTTTACAAGGTTCAGTGTTGTCTGGCAACTCAACATGCTGGAGTTTGTTTTTCAATGAATACAGAGTTTTTTTTCTGGATTTGTCCCAAACAACTTGTGGTAAATAAGATGCTGTTTGATTTTTCCTGGTTTACTGACCCCTTAATTCTCTAGCCAGAACAGGGTTGTTTTATATTTATACTCCTGTGACTTGTCCGTGTTTGTTCTCACCCTGCTGTGCTAAAAATACACATCTGAATGGAAAATACTTCAGAGATATTTCGTTCATAAGGCTTTTTTAAGTCAATTATTTGGCCAATGTGTATTGAATAAAAACATTTAGTGGTCATACTTCATTTTAAGGTACAATTTTTGCAAATACCTTTATTTTAGGACAATAAACTATTAATTTGATGCTTATATGAATAGTTTAGGTTTAGTATTGTGTAGGATTAGGAATGTATAGGTTGTTTTCACATTACATCATTGATGACGTGCAAAATTCAGATGGAGGAAAGTGATTCTTCTACATACAGTAGCAATCACTATCAGAACCTCAAAATGTTTCTGTTTTATGTTGTTTATAATGGCTTAAATCAGCCAAAGTATGAAATGCTCAACAGCTTTTTAGCCTACCAAAGGTTTTTGCTCATAAAGGGGAGGAGGGGGTGGAGTTCAAGAAACTGTCTGAAAAGTGGAAGGAAAGGTGGCATGTAATAAACATTTCTTCAACACATCCATTTGTACTACATTTTTTGAAGGTAATAATTTGTTTGACAGCACCAATAAAGATTATATACAGGCCTAGATAAGTGTATGTCAATGTGTTACTGTATATAAAAATCATATACAAACAAACCCCACTTGTACCAAATACAGAAGAATATAAATAATGTACCCTGCCATGTAATCGCCGCAATGAAGTCTCCGTCTTGTTTTGCAATGATCCTTGTGTTTACTGGCGTTTTGGCAGAATTAACAACCGTAATGATGCGAAGCAGTGGTGAATGTTGGTTGATTGTAAGTTTATTGACCAAAGAAATGCAACCCTTGCGACAAAACTAGACGTTTATTTTTACAGAAATAAATAAAAAATAATGTAGACTATGCGGCCACGCTTGTGTATGCTTTCATCTGTTATTTCATGATGTCTAGAAGGTATCCGCAGGGGGAAAAAACTATAGTTATTTATAATAAACATGTTTTTGAATCACATATTAAAGTGTTTAATGTGTACAACTGTTAATGAATGCTACAGAATACATAGTAAACTGTAATAAATACTGTAACATTGGTGTAAACTGTGGTGCACTTTGATGGTGTATAAAAAAGCCATAGAAAAATAAAGCCGATGGAATAATTTGTTTATTATTACAGTTGTGTTGTACCACAGCAACAATATAATTACTACGACAGTTTAAGTCAAGTAATTAGTATGCTTTCAAACACTAAAGTATTTACTATTGTATTTTTTTCATGGAGCGTAATAGCTTATACAGTATATACCGCCTCGATGACAGTCAAATTTATTTTAGTTCAGTAGAAAACTCGGCCCCCTTCGTGGAATAAAGATCATACCTAACATATGTGCTTATTTTCTATCTATATCTCCTTTTAAATATGATATAAATCACATAAATACGGATCTTCCTCTATGTCTCGCAATTATTTTTTTTACTTCCTGCCCTCCATTTGAATTTTGTGTGTCACCAGAACCACGTGATTGCAAACAACCTATAATAAGGTCATGCAGAATATACTTTACTAATACTAATTACTAAGCATCAAGTACTAATAAACTGTCAATATCTTAACAATATAAAGGTAACAAACCTATTCAACAAAAACTAAAGTGTTACTCATTTATTTGACAAATTTTAACACTTTTAATATTTTTATTTAAATTAATTTACATTTTTTTGAAGGAAAAATCGTTTTGTTTTCTTTATATTTTCTACCCCAAACGTGGCAATACATTTAACCACGACTGTAGAAAGCAAGAATCTTTTGCACATCAATGTGTTTGTGCAACATGAACAACCTTTTACTCTTGTTATAGGTAGGTTGGTGGGAGAACGGAGTGCTGCGCTTGCGTTACCCGCCCTGGTCTCGATACGGGCCGTTTCTCAAACCCCTGGATGATTCACAGCACTTGCGTGTGGTTACTCTGGAGGAGAGGCCGTTTGTCATCGTGGAACCCGCTGATCCCGGAACAGGCTCCTGCATCAGAGACTCAGTGCCGTGCCGACTGCCGCTCAACAACAGGTCAAGGTTCAGTCTGTGGATTTTTCGACTGGAAATGTTCAACCTTTGAGGTTATCACTTTGCCAAATGTGGCAGTGAATATGCAGATGTTGCAAATTACATTCCCATTAGCCTTGGGGCATTCATTCCCCGTCCTGTCACTAGCGCTGATGGGATTTAAATAAATTAGAAATGCACGTAGAAATGGAAGAGGTTGATCAATGATAGCTCCGCGACAGAGCACTTTACTTCATTTACCTTATTTAAATGGAGAATTTCTCTGAATTCGTCCCGGTGAGGAGTACAGAGCCTGGGTGAATCACAGAGAGATCATTGCATCCTAAAATCAAAGGGAAGATTATGGAAATGAGATTTTAATTGATTACATTATGGTTTTGTTTTTCCAACTACTGTATGTTTTGCACAAGGGAAATTAAGGCTTTTTTTATACTTGATTTTCATTTATAGTGAAGCACAATTATCCCAAAAATGCATATTACCAAAATGCTTAATGTTTTTAATGCATAATGTAAATAAAAATTGCATATGCATTAGATTAATGACTCATATTTGCAGATCATGATAGTATTTATTGAACTACAATTTAAACAAAGATACACATTAATCATGAATGTGTTCATGTATACAGAGCTTAATTGTTCATCATTATTCAAGTCTTCAATGTCACTGTGATCTTTCAGAAATACTGATAGTTTGGTTATTTGGTGTTCTGTTATAAATTCTCATTAATGGTTCTCGATCATTAATAATAATTATTTTTATTATATTATGACATATTAATTTTTAGCATTATTTGTTAAATAGACAGTTTTAAATATTATCATTCAGAATGGATTATTTTGTGTAATAGATGTCTATTTATTTACACTTTGTCAAGTTGGGTTGTATTTGATGATTCTTTTAAAGAAACCAGCTTAGCATCAAGAGCTTACATTTAGCATATTTTCACATAGAAAATACAATATTTCATTATTTTACAGTTTTGTGCCGTGTTCAGATGCTCTGTGTGCGAATAGATCACGCTATTTGCACATATATCATGCGTGAATATTTTGAGTTGACTTGCTTCATTCGCACATCAAATTTGCTTCATTTACTCAGCAAATTCACTTCACAGTAGACGTTGATTCGCATCATGGATGGGCCTCTGTCCGTCCAGTGACTCTAGCTTCATTGCCAAATGGCTAACATGGTTTTTAATTGAGAGATTAGCTGTGCTTTATGTGCTTTAGGAAGGCTGAAAAACAGCATAGATTTGTTTGGCGCTTCTGTCTTGAGTCCACTAGATACTTTCAGAGGTGCACCAAGATCTGTGAGTTCATCAGCTCCTCCAGAAATGTTATGGATGATTGAAGCTTTCAGCTGTGCTTCCGACTAATAATCACACCCCTACAAGAGCAAGCTCCTAATTGGGTAACATGCCGCAAATGTCCTCTAAAGTTCAGATTTTTCAACTTGAGCGAATCGCGCAAAACACAAAAATTCACGCCGCCTCAATCACGCAAATTGCACAGGAGCATGTCTATTCGCTCCACCTCAATCGCCGTAGGATGTCTATTTGCTCCTTTGGATAGTTTTATAGTAACATGAAAATCACTCTCGCTTGTAACTTCACCCGCATCTGGTGTAAACGCACTATTATAGACTTAAAAATGCAGGCTTGGAAAAGAGAAACATTAAAATATTTTCTAAACTTTTGACCAGTATTGTATTTTAATATTGCATAAATTATTTTTTTTTTATAAATGTACTACAACAAAACCATAATGAATCTATAATGACTAAATAAATAACTGTAATGCAAACTTCATGTAACAAATGTTAATGTTCTCAAAAAAAATTCATTTAGAATCAGTGAATTATAACTCTAATTTCACTAAAAAGTAAAATATGAAGTTATCCAGATAATGAGAAGACTGAACAAAGTGTTTAATACTAAATTGGTAGTTCATACAAAAATGAAAAATTGTCATCCTTTACTCACCCTTTACTTGTTCCAAATCTCTAAGTTTCTTTTTTTCATTGAGCACAAAAGAAGAAATTTTGAAGAAAGCTGCAAACCTGCAACCATTGATGTCCAACTTAGGAGAAAAAAATGCAGTGGAAGTCAAAGGCTACGGGCCTCCAACATTTTTAAAAATGTCTTCTTTTAAATTCAACAAAAGAAAGAAACTCAAACAGGTTTGGAACAAGTTGATGGTTTTTATTTTTGGGTGAACTATCTTTAAATGCGTGACATAAATACAACAACACATTTTGGTAGTACATTTGTGGTTATAACAGGACAATATTTAGATAAATAATAATCTTTTCCTGCTGCAGTATCTGTGTGGCAGTGCTAGTTTTTAAAGCAGCAGACTCTTTCCTTTAAGAGTCATATGCTTTATATGCTGATAGACCTCAGATTATGTTTGCCTTAGGTGACAAAGCACTGAATTCTAAGCAGGGATGTTCATTTAGTTCCTTTTGCTCGGTTTCTCTACATGACTTCATTCTTTTGTCACTGTCCCCTTTCTCTTTCTTTACTCCTTTTCTGTGTCTTTTTCTTCTTCCTCCTCTTTTCAATTACAGCATGGTTGTTGAGGGCATTCAATCCATGAAGCACTGCTGCAAAGGCTTCTGTATTGATGTTCTCAAGCGCCTGGCTAAAATAGTGGGCTTCACCTATGACCTCTATCTGGTGACCAATGGCAGGCATGGAAAGAACATAGATGGACAGTGGAATGGAATGGTCGGGGAGGTCAGACCCTCATTTTATCTCTTCTATATTCTTTGACCTTGATTTTATTATCACACAAAGTCCACTGAATTCAGATGCAGACTTGTGTTGTTTTTGTTGTTAATTATGAAGCACTATAGGCTTAACATGCAAGAATATATGTTTGAATATGAAATATAAACATAAGATAAAATTTTTCTATCATTTGCACCGCCAACAGTCATTGTATACCTGTAATCATCAGCGGGTGGAATATACTCATTCTCATGTCTACTATTTTGACATGGCTAATGTATATAATGTCACTATTACTGTATGTAACAGTGCTGTCTTTACAAAGTGATGTCTAGAACTGCATTTTCTCATGGCTAGTGAGCTACAACACTATCTTATTCATTTTATTGTGTATATTAAAGGTGCTGTAAGTTTTTGACTCTTCTAAAGCATAAAAATACCATAATATGTTTGCAGATATTTAAGAAACATGCTAAGTGAACATTCTTGTCAGATATTATGCTTTAAAAATGTGTGTTACGTGCCGGAACATGTGTCTTTGTTTTGGTTCTTTTAACCCACCCACTGTCATTTGAGCCAATTATATTTCAGCACCGCTGTTGCCTTGTGGAAAACTGCGTATTTGATTCATTTAGTTAGGAAGGCTCACAAAGTATGCGTACGTGAACGAAATATGACCTCAAAATAGGCCCCAAAATAAGATGCAGATTCAGAGTTCCACAAGAAGTGTTTATTAATGAGCAAATAATATGAATATTACAAATGTAAACATTAAGTGAGCAGGTTAAATTAAAACACTGTCCTGATGAGATTTGCAGCGATAAAGTAGTTTGACCAGACGAAACAAAAGTTTAAATACAGCCATTTAGTAGCACAGTATAGTGCAATCTTAAAAATATCTTCTATTGGGTTCAACAGAAACAAACAAACAAACAAACAAACAAACAAAAAAAAAAATTAAATACATTTGGGAAAAGTGAAGGATGAGTAAATTATTGTGTCATGTTAGGATGCTGGAGTTAATGTTCCATGTGCAGCTTTATTCATATATCCTTTTATATGTTTGACATGGTCCAAACACAGTGAATTTTGTTTGATCAAACAAAAGAATAGTGAAATATGAAAACAATGATCGGCCCCTGTGGCTTGTATAGCACCCCTCATCAGTTGGAATACAATAACTTTTGCATAGATTATGGTAGAGACATATTTCTATTTTCCTATGGTTACAAACATGTGCAGAAACCACCAAAATTAATTACAGCAACCCTAGACCACACAGAACCTAAAAGGTATACTTTCAAATTTGAGAATATAAAAGAAATACTAAAAGCGCCTCTTTTTAGGTGTTTATTATAACACAGACAACATATACAGGTATTTTAAACACTTTCAATTGTGTTTCATGAAAATTCAAAGGGTTTTCTTTAAAATGATACCAAATTTTTGCATTTTCACCTCTGAATGTAGATTTTTGGAAGATTTTAAATTTGGGTAGGGAAAATCCAGGCGGAAATCCCAAAATAACAGCAGAGTTTAACTGGTTAATTAACATAAAAACTGGCCCAGATTAAAAAGAATAGGAAACCCACTACTAAATCATTTCTAGCTATCAGTTACTGTACATTATTTTTTGGCATTTTTTGGTAATTTATTGACTTACTAATTGACAGCATACATTAACTGTGAGGTTTCAAGCTCGTAAATAATTTTTTGATGTATTTCTTCAGCATTCTCCTCACTTGACCTGTTCTTACAGAAGCGTCTACAGTCTTTCAAAATACTTTTAAAGGAGTGAATATAACAAGTGAGAGAGCTAAGTGCACATGAAGGGATGGAGTTCTGTTTGTGCTTTGCTACTTGATAAATCCCTCAGATATACAGTACTACAGGGGTTTTCAAACTGGGGTCCGCGGCCCCCTGGGGGGCCGCCAGATGGCGCTAGGGGGGCCGCAAAGAAATTTTAGATCAATGAGCCCACATGGATGAATTTTGTGTCCCGCATCATTCTGAAGGTTAATATATTTTTATTATAATTTGAGCTCAAAAGTACTGCAAAAATGAAGCTTTATGCTTATGTCATTTAAATGCAGTTGACACTTTCGTGACACAGGAAAAGAAGCGCAGCGGCCCGCCTCCGTGGACGGGGACTTTTATTGAATAAGCGCTTCTGGCCAGGCGCTTCCTGACTGTGATTTTTGGCGCTTGTCTGCTGCACCTGACGGCGTTTACCTTTCACTTACGCTTACCTCTTTTACGCTAAACAACTAAATGAATGCTCAGGTTTGACTGACTATATTTCAGTTCAAATACATGATTAATAAGAACATTATCGGTGGCTGAAAGCACTACCCTGTTTATGGCTTGCGTTCCTAAGTAACCGAGGTCCTGCGGAGCGCGCGCCTCTCTGCGCAGGCTTCACTCATAGAGAACAAATAGCATTTTAAAGACACGGCACAACATTGCACCTCGTCCACAGCGCGACAGGCTTTTACACTTTGCATTGTACAAATATCAGACGATCCTCTTAGCAGCATGGCAAACAAACATATTAAAATTGTAAAGCAAAAAGTGCTGCAATAACAATGAATGGAGCTGTCATCACATCAGCGAGTTCTCAGTTTCACTCCTGTTACACTAATGACAGCTGGATGAGCTCTGCAGTGAACCTCTTACTCACATTGGTTCATAACTGGATGATTTAAAAAACTAAATTGTATACACACTGAGTAAAACCACTATAGCCTTTAAAAATTATAATGTATCTGTTTGTGTTATGTTATAGGGCTAATAATTATTAAATATTAAAAAGTATTAGTGATCTGTATTTAATGGAGCTCAACATACCTGATCAAATTTTAATACTCTGAATATAAATGCATTTTTGTTCCACTTTTTCCCATATTTGTTTGTGTAACTAATTTAAATGTAATGTTCAGTATTATTATTAATAGAACAAACTGTTATGAACATTTTAAAGTCAGCAAAGCTTCTAAAATTATGCAAAGCAAAACTTGTGGCTCTTTGAACTTGAATACCCAATTCTAGATTGCATTTAGGAAATTATTTTTTTATTAGTGTAAGTCAGGATTGTCGACCTGAGTAAATTATGATGTGCACAAAAAAAAGGAATAATAATAAACAAAACACACAGCCTCCATTATAGTATTGCTAGTTACAACAGTACAGTTAACTGTTAACAGGCTGATGAATGACAAAACTCTTTAAAACTTTAAAGCTTTAAATCTTTAGATACATTTAGACTCTCAGCTGTAAGGGTAAATAAATACAGAAGAGTCTAGCTGTGCATAGGCTGAAAAAAAGCATAAAAATGGCATAAAAACTGTGTAAAGTGACGACTTGTACACAAAATATGGCTTGATGGGATAATCCAGTGAGAGCAGACCACAATGAACACTGCGCATCAAGATTTGATCAATAGATTGAAGCACTAAAACCATGTCAACTCAACTAACATCTTACAAAAATTAATCCAGATAATGAATAATATAAATTTATTGAATAATATATAATAATATAAATGTATTGAATAATACAATAAAAAAAATTAAGTACAGTTGTTAATTTGAGGGGGTGGCGTCATTTTTATTTTTGGGGGGTCCCCAAAAGAATTCGCCCTACACAAAGGGGCCCTCAGCTGAAAAAGTTTGAAAACCCCTGCAGTACTAGACTTTCAACTTCATGGTCAGACCTTATGATAATTATTTAACACTTAGCGAGGTGTCTGTAATGAAACAAAGTATTTAAAATATCAAAAACACTCCACAACCCACTCAAAACCCACCAGTTCAGATACTCTAGTCTAGAGTCATTAAATTATTATTTTTATTCACCAACTATTGAAGCTGAACTGACCAAGTGCTCATCCCTGATACCAGCCCGCCGTCAGGTTTACCATCATTCAGTGCCTCTAATATGAAAGACATGAACCTCTAAAAATAAATGTGTCCATTGTGACTAAAACAGTCAACTGATTACTGCTGTCTCAGTAGGTGAAAGATGTTGCCTAGCAAGATGGAACAGTAAAACATAAATAGAACTTAATGAAGAAAGTGTTAAAATAGTCATTATATACATCAGGTATATTCCAGTTGTTGTTGATTATGCCTCATTTTATTCTGGCTTTATAATTTTAGCTTGTTTAAAACAAGTCAATTAGATATTTTATGAAAAATACACATTTAAAAAGCAGCCACAACTAGATTAAATGGCGGTTCAAGTGTTAAACATCTGAAATAAGCAACTTGTTTTTTTTTTTAAATCCACTTTCTCTGTTGGTAATGTGATTAGCCTTTTCCTCCACCAGGTGGTGTCGAAGCGGGCCGACATGGCGATCGGCTCTCTGACTATTAATGAAGAGAGGTCAGAGGTTGTGGAGTTCTCTGTCCCGTTTGTGGAGACGGGCATCAGTGTCATGGTTTCTCGCAGCAACGGCACTGTGTCGCCATCTGCTTTCCTCGGTAAGAGAACAGGAGGGTGCTCTAGCCTTAATTTGATCTTTTAGGCTTTTGGCAGACACTTATTCAAACATATATTTAATCAGTGTGTCCATTTTGCTTGGAAATCAAAGTCTTGACCTTGGTTTTGCCAAGTGCTGTGCTCTACCAGTTCAACTGCGAGATTCCTATTACTCAAATATATATGGTTTATTAGAGATGTGTGCCATGATTCGCTTCATTAATGTTTCATTTTGTAACCGACTAGTCTCACAAATCTCCAGACAGTCAAAGTATTAGTATTCATAAACGATCGGTTTAAAATAGCCTTTCAAATACCTGTGAATCAAACATGCTGTTGAAAGATAGACTATATACTGTCCATATTCTGTATGTGATGTGCTCGGCGTACATTATAATCGTTGTACATTAAACTTCAGCACTCATTCATTCAGTGTTAGCCAATATAGACTTATTAACAGCTGAATCAATAAGAAATGTAGTATCAAATCAGTACATATTCAATATTGTATCTAGAATTTTAAAAAATAAAAGTCATCAAATGCCCTCAAAAATATATATATTTTTAACTCGTTCAACTACTTAATTAAAATGAGCTGAAACAACACAATACTTGAGATTTCATTTGGACAACTTCATTTTTTATGTTTAATCCACATAAATGTGTTAAAAGTGTTGCAGTAACTCAATCGATTTGTGTTAGGACATGCATTTTTTACAGTGTGTAAAGTTATTGTTGTTCAATTGTTATGAACCCACTTACTGTACTTGTTCAGACATGTTTGAAATTTTTTTTTGCACATGACAGATCTTATGAACTAGGAACATGTACATTAAGGGTATAACATTTGTTAGGATATTGACATTGCGACTGTTGTCGTCAAGTGTTTGTTCATAGTGTTTCTACAGTAGTTGTGATCAATGTGAATTTGCTTCTACTCTTCCTCATAACCAGCAGTGTAACATGCCATTTTGATATAGTCTAGCAGGGGTGTCCAAACTAAGTCCTGGAGGGCGGGTGTCCTGCAGTGTTAATCTCCAACTTGCCTCAACACAGCTGCCAGGAAGTTTCTTGTACACCTAGTAAGAGCTTGATTAGCTTGTTTAGGTGTGTTTGATTAGGTTTGAAGCTAAACTTGTTAGGACACCGGCCCTCCAGGACCAAGTTTGGACACTCCTGGTCTAAACAAAACTTCACTTTTCTTTTTACTTAAATAACCCTTCACTTTGTTTATTTCTGAGTGGGTTTCTCTGAAATTGTTGTGAGTGAGAGAGAAACCAAACACATGCAAGCAATGAGGTAAATCTTTTCCACTCAAATGTGTACAAAGAAACAATGTTTATTTAATATCGCCACATCTCCTAATTCACTGTTGCCTACATTAGTCATATAGTCCACTTAAAGGAGTGAGAAAACTGGGTGCCCTAGAATAGATGACATTTTGTTTGTGCTTTGCTAGTTGATGAATTCCAAACCGAATTAGATTTTCATCTTCTTGGTCAGACTGCGATGGTTATTTAACACTTAGTGAGCTGTCTATGAGTTATGAAACACAGTACTTTCATTTCTGTTATGCACAGTATACAAAGGTTAATTAAATCATTTAATTAGAAACTTTCACAGATAGGATTCTGCTGTGGATGCCATATTTTGATTAGATGCAAACATTCAATTGATGTGAAAACATCCATTATGGGTATTTTCTAGATTTTAAGTGTATGACGGTTGTACAATTGTAATAATGGTGCACTTTGGGATTGATTGAATACTGCAACTATCCACTATGGTTAAAGATAATACTACAAATGCTGCTCCCTCAAACAGTGCACGCTTTAAGGGTATTTGGGCATTTTTGGAAAGCAAAATATTGTTTAGGCAGCTAAAGATTATTTGCAATTATGCAAATCGTGTATTTAAAAATAAATACAGATTGCTGTGAAATATTTATGGTAGTGATTTTTAAGGATCTTGTGGAAAAAACTAAGTAGTGCATAAACAATTAAAAGAACATTTACAGTATGTTCTTGAATATTATCTGTATACTGTGGCTATATGAGGAAAAAAATCAATCACAAACTAAAGCATATTTGTAAAAACCTGTGTATATTGGCTTAACAATGAATATTTTAATGTCATAATAAAGATTGTATTGGTCATTTGGGAAAAATACTGTACATATATACAGCCACATCTCACTGCTACTCATGTGTTATTGCGTTTATACAATAGTTGGTCGGCACAATCGTGTTTATAAAGAAGAAAATCAAACTATTTTGTGTATAAGGAACCACTTTCCTAAACCACTCATGCACATCTGCAGCTGACGTCAGAACAGCAGAAACCCATGCTCATTCACACGTGATTTTAGAGCTGGTATTTGAATGATTCTCTCGCATAATGTCTAAATTGATGACAAAACAGGTGATTTTGTTGACATCTAAAGATTATAAGGGTGAACGGCATGAAATGCCATTAGTCTACAGAGATTTCAGTATCTCTCTGTTGCAATCAGGATATCTCAATAATTAACCCTGAATAAGCCAAAGCAACGCAAACACTACCAGATTACTATTGTGTTTGCAATAAGGAAAACGCTAAACACATACGGGCATTTCTTCTTTCTTTCTTTTTACTGAACTAGTCTGCAGTAACAAAAACAGGAGATCATCAAAAACAGACAGATGGCCAACCAAAAAGTAACCCGGGGTTATACAAAGAGTGGCCAACACAAAATACACACATTCCTGATATGAGAGTCCCTTCTCACACTCAAGACTACAATTACTATGGTATAAATACAGCACTACAACATACATGATTTGATCAGCTGGAGTTAGAAATTATGCTGTTTTATTCCTCTAAGGGCTTATTCTGCAGTCTCTGTCGCCATCTTGTGGATGGACTACGTCAACCATCATTGCTCTGCTTAATGACAGGCTAATGGCCGCCGACACGCTCTCGCCGAAATTATAAATATTTAAAATAGGCACTATCCTTATAAATAAACTGCATAGTTACAATCTAAACAACTACATTCTCGACTAAAATAAAAGCCTCAAAAGTACATTGTGTCCAACAGCTGCAATATTTGTCAAACTTTAGTGTGTTGCTGTATGTGGGCAGAGTAATACACAACAGTGAAGGGTGTAGAGGCTGTACGAGTGCTGTTAGTTGCAGAATATCGCATTATGTCCCGATATGCCCCATTATTGTATTATAAAGGTTTAGAATTTCGCAAAGATCACCTTTTTGTCACAATATACATTTCATATTACCTCATTTATTTTCTTAAAGGTCACAAACTATCCATCGGAACATCTGTTTGTTCTAAAGCTCTCTTTTCTGAGAGTCTACTATGCTCTGATTGGTCAGATGCCAAAGTCTGTTGTGACTGCTCTGCCACTTGCAGCATGTGTTGGAAGCAAAACCCCATTACCATATCTGGATCTCATCTCCCAGTGCTTCCACAGTCTTTAACGATTGTACACACTGTAGGACAGAAATGATGGCATTGATTTTTTTTGATCAATTCATGCCAAGATCAATGATGACACATTGAAAGGACTGATCGACCCCGAACCTCCATCGCAAAGCACGACTTGAGCTGGACATCTCTCTGTAATGTTTTCATTTAGTTTGTGGCATGTTACGAGAGGTTATAGCTCTATAATTATTCTGCATTAGAAGCAAGTGTATGTCCATCAGAATTAATGAGGGCTCGTGGCAAAAATGTCGCAAAAATGAATAATAGAAACCTACAGATTGAAGATAATGGGGTAAAAATGGCTGTGGATAATTAAAGTTAAGCTGTTATGACTATCTCCACTAAATTGCAGTTTTGCAAATTGAGCTATACATTTAGTTTCACATCACATTTGGGTTTCTTTTACTTTTTTAACAATAGTCAGAGATCCATTTAGCTGTTTTTGTGAAAGTCTATAAATTGTAGAAAAGTAACCATCTTGATACCATCAAGATATTGACAACACAAACAAACCACAGTGCTTTAGAGTCAAAATAGATGTTGTTCATGCATGGCTATCCGGTAAAGACCACAGGCTGGCATTATGAAAAATTGTTATGAATTTACGTAGATCAGTTATGGCAGTGAAGCTGGCATTCAGTTCAATCTGTTTTTTCTTTTAGAAGACTAACATTATTTATCAAGCACCTCAGACTATAAAAACTTTGCAGACCTTTACCATTAAACTGCATGAAAGGAAAGTCACAGCATGATGAGCAGTATTTTTATGGCTAAAAAAATCAATAGAAGTGAATAAAACGAAAAGTCTCAAGCCAAAACAATTCCAGTGGCTACAACCACTTTAGCATGAAAGAATAAGGTCAATAATCATTAGTACTGTGATTGTTGAGTAATCGAATATTAGCATCCTAAATCGTAATCAAATTAAATTGTGCTGTGCCTGAGATGAAAAAACACTCCTATAACATCATTTAGATTTCAAGACATTTGTCAGATTTTTGTCCTCAAACTGCACTTAAAAACATATTTAGGCCTAACAAATATGATTTATGTATTCTGATTGCAGATAAAAGTTACATATTTTTTAAATAATTGAAATAATAAACTTCATGTGATTGATATTTTTAGTTAAACATAAATTAAACAAATAAGAGCAAGATTTATGCAATATCATTAAATCCAGTGTTTTTTTAATGCTTAATGCCCCCCTCCCCCACCCCCCCGAAAATTAAGTAAACCAATCTCAGATCAAACCTAGAATCTCTAGAATATTACGAATTGGATCTGGCTTATATATGTATACCCTATTCATATTTTTAACTGATTAAATCTAATATTATTCAAATTAAATAATTTAGATTGATTTTAAGTATCTGACAACCAAAAAAAAAAAATGACAAATTAAATCAACTCAAATAGTTACAAACAGTTAAATGTCCCGTGAAGTGCTCTGAAATGTGCATTTATTTGATGTTTGACATAATCTCAACCAAAATATGATGAGAGGGTGGGACTTTAAAAAAAACTGCCAAAAAAAAAAAAAAACAACAACAGCCAATAGCACTTTGTTTTATCTACACTCTGCCAGGGAGAGTGGTTGAGTTCAAGTGCATTAAATGAAGCGTCTTGAAGGGGGCATGATATGTCAGATACTAGAGAGCTTTATGATCACGATGACTTGAATAAAACCGTAAATCAGCGTAATACTCAATACTTTTGAGTACTTTTGAAGGGTCTACTCTTTACTCATACTTTGAGTAATATTTACAATAGATATTTTTACTCTACCTGCACTGCATTTTTAGGCAAGTAGTAGTGATTTTACTTAAGTATGATTTTTCAATATTCTTTCCACCACTGTTATTAAATAAAATCTAAATCACTTCATTTTTATTGCATGGGATCTTTAATGACAAACGTCATTATGGCTCATTTTTTTGAGTGTTGTCCTAGGACTAGTTTCTTAAACATCTCATCCAAAGCCTTCCGTTTTGGTTTGATATAATTTTTGACTGTTGTAGGTTGTGAAATTGCTGAAATCATTCAGTTTAGGGATGCGGATCTGTAATGTCTTTCAAAACCTGCCTGGAATTACTAAACGGGAAGGAGCAAACTACATTTCCCTTGTCCATTGATGCAGTCAATCAGAATCAAGCATTCAACAGCCCCGTAGTGTAAGACTGCTTTTATCGTCATCCATTAATTTTCATAAATGTGTCTTTTCCGTTTTTGGCAGAGCCGTACAGTCCAGCTGTGTGGGTGATGATGTTCGTCATGTGCTTGTCTGTGGTGGCTGTAACCGTCTTCATATTCGAGTTCTTCAGCCCTGTCGGATATAACCGAAGCCTACAGAGCGGCAAGAGTGAGTCTTTTATATATTTTAAGGCTTTGCTCCAGGCACTTTCTTGAAGGCAATCAGCAATGAAGGGCTTGTTTACAGATTGTTATTATCATTGTAAGCATGTTCCACAACAGACCTCCAGCTATAATCAGTCTTCTCTCCTGTGTCTCACTGTTTTCTCCCTTTGCGCTTGCTGTTATCGTAATAAGACGTGTCTGTGTTTTCTTCTGTCAGCGGCTGGAGGTTCAAAGTTCACTATAGGGAAGTCTATTTGGCTGCTGTGGGCTCTGGTGTTTAATAACTCCGTTCCGGTGGAGAACCCGAGAGGCACCACCAGTAAGATAATGGTGCTGGTCTGGGCTTTCTTTGCTGTCATCTTTCTGGCCAGCTACACTGCTAACCTGGCAGCTTTCATGATCCAGGAGGAGTACATCGACACTGTGTCAGGACTCAGCGATAAGAAGGTAGACCATGAGATGTGGGTCTTTCAGTTAGGATGAAATGCTCCAATTTGTAGCTATCATGGCGAGTAATAAAAATATGATTAGTCATGTTTAATATTTATATAATTCTTCATCTATTTTGCAAATAACATTAAAAGGTTAATAACAAAAAAGATAAATACAATTATATAGTTAAATACATATATAATGTAGTATTTTAGTAAATATATGACATATTTAGATTACATTTTTTAATTAAAATGACATCGCTCATATGTTTTAATATTTGTATAATATTAAAACATTTCTTCCTAATTAAGCAGTGAATAAAACTTGTACTTTTTATCATTTATTCTGTACATTACTATTGTGATGCCTAAATGTATTTGCAGAACTAAAAAGTAACTGTTGTTTTTTTGTTTTTTTTTGCCAACTATATTTATTAACATTTTTTGCAGATACAATATCATATACATACAGAAATAAGTAATACACTGTTCTGCTTTTTCACAACTAAGAACCAATGACCATCAGAAAAAAATATATAGTTATAAAATGACACAATAAATGTAAAAAAAATAAAAATAAATAATAAATATATAAACAACAACAGCAAAAACTAACTACAAAAATAATAAATAAATACTAATAATTAAAAAAAAATAAAATCCTTTATTCCTCTTCTGTTTCAAGATCAATAGTGTCAATATAATTTAACAAGGGTTTCCATGTTTTGTAAAAGGATTTTAAAGACCCTTTTAATGAAAACCTAATTTTTTCCAACTTTAAACACAAAAAAATGTATTTTATCCATCTGTCATGTGAAGGTGGAGATGTTTGTTTCCATTTAAGGAGAATAAGCCTCCTAGCCAATAATGTAGCAAAAGCCACAACGTTCTATATTGTTGAAGGCAAATTTGGCTCAAAAGGAATTCCGAATAGTGCTGTTAGAGGGTTTGGAGTGGCTGATATGTTAAAAGTTTTTTCAAAAGTATTGAATATTTTAGACCAAAACACTGTCAATTTTGGACAAGACCAGAACATGTTTGTGTGATTGTAACTGTTGTTTTTAAGTTATTCTTAATCTTTATTGTAGAAATAATGTAGAATACAAATCAAGCACAACCCCAAATCAGAAAAGGTTGGACCAGAGTGGATTTCTAAATTTATTTTCACTTGTATTTCATTGCAGTCAATACAACAAACATTAAGACATTTCGATATTTCACCTTCAACAGTGCATAACATAAATAAAAGATTCAAGGAATCTGGAGAAATTCCAGTGTGTAAAGGACAAGGGTGTAAGTCTAAGCTGAACAATCGTGATCTCCAATCCCTCAGGTGGCACTGCATCAAGAATCGTCATTCATCTAAAAGCGATATCACCACATGGGCTCAGGACTGCTTTTGCAAACCTTTGTCAAGTACCACAATACGTAGTTACATCCACAATGCCAGTTAAAACTGTACTGTACCAAAAGGAAGCCCAATGTTAACAGTGTCCAGAAGCAACTTCTCTGGTCTCGGAGGCATCTGAGATAGACCATCACAAAGTGGAAACCTGTGTTGTGGTCAGATGGATCAGTATTTCAGGTATTTTTTCTGCAGAAATGGACGCTGTGTGCTCCGGACCAAAAAAGAAAAGGTTTATCCAGATTGTAACCAGCAACTAGTCAAGCAACACATTTTCCATACTGCCCTAACCTTTTCTGATTTGGGACTGTATTTATCAGTTTATTACTGTAGTTTTAGTATTATATATTGTACTTGTATTTAATGTTTTGAAGTAACTTTTAGTATTATACATCTTTTAGAATTTTGGTTCAGGTTTTAGTCATTATGTTCTTTGCTTTCTCATTTTCATTTATGTTTATATTTAAAACTAGCTTAATATTTCTATATAGCTTCATTTATACTTCAACAGTTATAGACCATTTCAATGTGGTGGAACATTTCCTGTTTGTTGTTAAACTTTTTTCTAACTGAAACAAGAGGCAAATCAATCATAACTTGATGTTAAAACAGCTGTCATAACCTTATCTATCAATATGTGGACCTTTTTGGATTCTCGGAAGCTTTGATAATTAAAAATGTAAAACAGGAAATGCGTTAGGACCGTTGTTATGGTTTACATCCCTCAACATAGTCTATATGTTATATGTTTGCCAAGGTAACAATTCTATGTCATTTTCCTTAAAGTGTTCCTTCTAATGTTTAGATTTTATTTTGTTTTACTAGAAATTTAACAATCTGCCAATATTTAACAATTAGAAAAACAACTATATTTTAATTTATGAAGTATTTATTCATTTTTGTTGACATATTAGTTAATAAAATATATCAGTTCACTGTTAGTTCATGTAAATATTTAGATTATAATAATCTAGTTTGTCAATTGGATTTATATTATATTAATATATAAGTCAGAATTATTAACCCCCCTAAATTATTAGCCCCCCTGTTTATTTTTTCCCAATTTCTGTTTAATGGAGAAATTTTTTCAACCCATTTCTAAACATGATAGTTTTAATAACTCATTTCTAATAACTGATGTATTTTATCTTTGTCATGATGACAGTAAATAATATTTGACTAGATATTTTTCAAGAAACTTCTAAACAGCTTAAAGTGACATTTAAAAGCTTAACTATGTTAATTAGGTTTACTAGGCAGGTTAGGGTAATTAGGCAAGTTATTGTAAAATGTTGGTTTGTTCTGTAGACTATCAGAAAAAAATATAGCTAATAATATTGACCTAAAAATGGTGTTTAAAAATTAAAAGCTGCTTTTATTCCAGCCAAAAAAAAAAAAACAAATAAGACTTTCTCCAGAACAAAAAAATAATAATAATAGCAGAATGCGAAAATTCCCTTGCTCCGTTAAACATTATTTGGGATATATTTAAAAAACAATAGGGGGTTTAATAATTCTGATGTCAACTATATGTATGAACAATGTAATACATTTTTTTTTTTTTTTTCATTGTGAATTCATGTTTGCAGAACTCCTTTACATAATATTACCAAAAGAAAAATGTTGATTTTAATAATGCATTCGTCTCAGCAAGGACAAATGACCAGCCAGATTAATTATAAGTAGAACATTGAAGATCAGGCAATTAAAAAAAACAATTAAATTGACTCAAGATACTTAACCAAATGATAAAGGAGGTCCTGAATGTCCCAAACATATCAATAACTCATTTTCAGCCAAGCTAATGCCTTACGCCCTCACATGGCAGTATTAGTAAATGTTACAATTAAATAAGATCAATAAACACCTTAAAAGTTTTAGTTTATGTAAACAAACTTTAACAAATGGAATCTTATTTTAAGGTGCTACCAATTCTTAATTTTAACTACATACACCGGTAATCAGCCATAAAATGACAAGAATTATTGGATCATCAGTATTGCTTACAATTTTAATTTTGGTGCATCCCTTGCTGGAGCTGATATGTACTAAAGTGAGCTGATATGGTGGTTTTATAAGAGTAGCTTGCATCACAGTGATAAGTGTATCCTCTATTAATCTCTTTAACCAGGTCTCATTTGAATCTGAACCAGACATTTGTTTGTGTGAAGCAGTTGGGGCCAAATTATGCAAATATATCATCAGCTTGTAATCATATAAAACAATGATTCAATTTTCATGGGTTTTATCCCCCCTCCTCCCGCCACTTTTTTGTTTCCCATCATACTTAGCGAAATGATTAATTAACCAAATTTCGATGGCCTGAACTGTAATATCATATTTCAGACAGCTAATGAAGTATCTCCCACTTGTGTTTGCAGTTTCAGCATCCCACTGAACAGTATCCTCCCTTGCGCTTCGGCACCGTCCCAAATGGCAGTACAGAGGAGAATATACGCAGTAATTACCCCAACATGCATCAGTACATGGTGCGAAACAACCAGAGAGGAGTGGAGGACGCCATCGAAAACCTTAAAACCGGGTAAGTCTTGAGTATCAATAGGTATGTTGACATGCACATCAGTAGTCTGATCATTTACCTTATTCTGAATAATTATGAGTAAGATGTTTCAATGATTTGCTTTTAGAGTTTCATAAACCTCCTTTTAGGATCCCTGATGTAGTACATATAGTATAGAACATGTCATTATTGTATGTTCGCACTTGGCCGGATTCTGTACTTTAGTCCCTGTTTGTTAGGATACTATATACAGTTTTGGTGTTTCATTTTTAATTTTACGAAAGCCTCAAGTGCAGTGAGCTATTCATATATAAATGCAAACGGTTGACGGTGTATACAAATTATCATACCAATAATACATTTTTGCTTGCTGTCTAATTGTTGAGCACTGCTGTGTGTTTATTCTCTTGTAAAATGTTGAGAAAAGTCCAACATGAAGTAATAGTGTGAATAAGTTTTGACATGTCTGTACTGCACTTAAATAGAAATAATCCACGACTTAAAGGTGCCGTATGATGAAAATCTCTATATACGTATATATAGACCAGCATTATAGAGCTCTCAGGAAATACGTGCAGGCATGATTTACAGTACCTCATCTCATCACAGCTTGTCGTCAGAATGCCAAAAATCAAAATACACTGATAATAAATGTATTCAGCACCACTCTGAAGAGGTATCGAGTGCTATGTTTTGTGAGTTTAAGGTGTATAATGTTTATAATGAGGCACCAAACACATATAAACTGCAGAGTGTAAGTGTTTAATGCACGTTAATGCACCGTGTCATATCATTCAGCTCTTACTGTCATATTTCTGGAGGGGAAGAATGACAAAAGACTTCAAAAACTCCTCTGTATATACAGAAGTTGATATAAATTCCTCTGGGCCCTATCATACACACGGCACAATAAGGCGCAAGACGTGTTTAGCGCGATTTGTTGCTATTTTCAGACCAGCGCAAAAGTAATTTTCACGTTTTGGGCCATGTTGTTTAGTAGCACATCCATTTGTACCACTTTGTGGACTCATGGGTGTGCTGGTCTAAAAAGGTGGTGTGTTAAGTCGCATTGTTGGTGCGATGCTATTTTGAGAAACTGAAATTGACTGCACCATTGTCCTGAAAGCTGGTCTGAAGTCCAGCTCAGAGTACATTAGTTATGCAGCTAGGCGGATCAAAACGCTTACACATTGCTTAAAATATACACAATGTACAGCTATACACAAATATCTTTACATATTAAAAAAAATAAAGGATTAAAATGTTACAAATATTATTATTTTCTATATAAATATAAAACCACTGCCTCCATGCCATGGGTGGCTTTTTTTAGTTTATTCATGACAATTTGCTTTTGTATAATGCTATTATTATTAGTAGTAGTATTATTTATTATATGAATATTTATATTTGTTTGAATAAAAACAAGTTTAGATTTGTCCATCTGTTGGGTTTTGGAGACATATGCATCACCATATGTAGCACCATAAGAATAGGTTGTGTGCTAGGACGTGTGCTTGGAAATAACTTTTTTTTTTTTTTTTTTTTTTTTTTTAGTTTTTAAAACCCTTAGTTTTTTGTTATTATGGTTCATTGTTTGCTGGAAATTAGAACTGAATTTAGAAATAGTTTTTTTGCACTTTGCACTGTTACAACCCTGGTCTAGGGTCAAGGCCGCAACATAAAAGAACACCCGACAAATAAAATTCTCTTCTTTGACCCTTTTGTGTCGGGTCTCTTTATTTGTCTTTTTTTTGTATTACTCAAACACGTGAAGCCAACTACCTCGGAGTGAACCCACAGAAAAATAATAAACAAAAAGTACACACTAACTAAACACCCAAATGAAACTAACTACACCTACTAAAATAACAGAAATAAAACAATACAAAATCTACACCTACCTCCCTGACTAAGAACAAAAACAGGAGAAAATATTTACAAGAAGAAAAGAGTGGCGTCCAACCCCTACTGCCTCTTACCGTGTACAATATTTACAATATTAACAAACAAACAAACCATAAACCAAATAATAGGAGGGGAAACACTGATGGATATACAACACAGAGTCAAAACTTGTACAACAGCACGGGAAACAATCAACGATACACTTAGCAACAGGAATAATTTTACCACACCAAACTCAAACACAAGAGAGAGAGAGAGAAAGAGAGAGACAGATACACACACCTGCCAACGCAACAGCGCAAAACACACAAAATGATATATGTTATGGATATCTTCAGTGAAGTGAGTACAAACCATTTCCTTACTCCACTAAAGTAAAGAGTAAAAGTAAAGTAATGGTAAGTAAACTATGTTTAACTGTTTTCTCGCCAGTTAAGTGTTCGGTTTTTCGAACACTTTTCGAATGTGAATTGCAAATGCTCCATGGCCACTCTTAAAGGGAATGGGAGATGAGACTCTGATTGGTTTAATGCATGTTGTGCTCAAAACACACCCAAAACTCATTAAGAGAATAAGCTGAACCCTGTTTGACCATACGTTGAGGCGCAAAACATATTTTCCTGTCATTAAAACAGCAAAAGTGAATTCAGACATGCCCTAAAAGCTTTTGTGCCATGCCCTTTAGACTTGCGCCTAGATCGTTAAAATAGAGCCCTCTGTATTCATGTGTTAAATCCATACAATTTAACTATAAATATATCTCTGTTGGCCCCTTGTATAATAATACAGATTACTTACATCACTGTTGACCCTGTATAATTATAATTTTGCCTATAATTCTTCCACAACACTCACTCCTTCTAGCTAACAAACCTCTTTATCACTTCATTCCTTGTTATTTATCAGGAATTTAATCAATTTGTTAAAATATTTTTCGACAACTGAAGTATGATTATTTTGTGCATGTGTATTTCAGAGTACATCATGCTATGTGTGTGTTTGTGGGTTCAAGAAAAAGAGAGAATAACAGTTTTCTTTTTTAATATACTTTAAATGTAATTTATTCCTGTGATGATAAAGCTTAATTTTCAGCATCATTACTCCAGTCTTTGATATCACTCGTTCCTTCATAAATCAGTCTAATATGATGATTTTGTGCTCAATAAACATTTCTTTAAGTGTCCAAAGGAAAATTCCAAAGTGGAAACTGCTTTAAAAAACAGTTGTAAACCATGATACATTTTTTTCTCGATAAATATAACAATTTGATAAACAGGAAGTTAAATTATTTTAGAAAATAAATATCTTACAACAATTTACGATATTAAATTTTATTTTCAAATTACATTGATTTGATGCATCTTTACTGAATCAAACTGAGCCCACATTTTAAACAGTATCTTAACTACAGTAGTTATGCATCATAAAACACAACAAAACATAAAAAACACAACAAAACACTTGTGATGTTCCTTATTTGTAAATTTGCGAGTGAGAAATCTGCCAAAATAGTCTCTAAATCACACCACAAAAGTGTTACGTCCCAGCGAATCAAGATGTTCTTTTAAGCAGTGGGGGAAAACAGATGTGCTCACAAGTAATTGACGGATATGGCTGACATGACGGATCACAACAGAGGCGTTAATTATTTCGTTGGCTGTTGCTTTTCGTCTCCATTTCCTCAGAGGGTGTGAAGATTGACTTTCATCCTTGTTGCCGTGTCATCAGACGGACCAAACATCCAGCGAGCACCACTACTTCCTTTAACTGAATTAATGACAGTCTTATTGATATTTCTGGCTTACATACTTCAGTCAAACTTCATTTACTTTATTTACATCTTCATTACATTCTTACATTTTACATTTATTCATCGAGCTGACACTTTTATCCAAAGTGACTTACAAATCAGGAACATCACAAGCAATTTGAAAATCTATCAGGAAGTATTTTTTATTACATAACCAGTTAAGACACTGTTTAAAAGTTTGGGGTTTATTAGTTTGCTCATATTTTTAATTAATATTTTTATTCAGTAAAGATGTGGCAAATATTTTACTGCATACAGTGGTCCCTCGATGATAGTGGGAGTTACGATACAAAATAACCTGCAATAGGAAATCCGCAAAGTCAGCTTTATTTAAAATATATATATATATATAAATAAATAAATAAATATATATATATATATATATATATATGTGTGTGTAAATATAATATGTTTTGAACCAAATATTAATTTAAAAGGTTTATTTCCTAAATAAATGCTGGGCTTTTGAACTTTCCTTGCAAACATTAATGAAAAATACATAAGAATATTAAGCAGTACAAAACTGCTATACATGAAGGCACATTTAACTGATACTGTAGCAATTCATATACTTATTATCAAATCATTTATTCCAAAGGTTTTTCAATCTTTCAGATGCCATAGCATAGACCAACAAACTATTCATCTTCAAGGGACTCCCATCCTTAGAATATAGATTCTTGTAAAAAGACACTTTATAGAATGAAAATAGTCTAGAATATAATTTGTGTATATATATAGTTGAAGTCAGAATTATTTGCCCCCCTGAATTATCAGCCCCCCTGTTTATTTTCCCCCAATTTAGGTTTAATGGAGAGAAGGAAAAAAATACATTCAAAGGGGGGCTAAAAGTTCTGACTTCAACTGTACATATATATTCTGGTTTATTTTTTTCATACTCATTGTAGTTCTGTGAATATTAATTTACTTACATGTTCATGTATATGTTTATATTTATTATTTATATTATTATTTTTCTTATTTTTTTACACTTATCAATTATTTAAGTTTTAATTTGTTAGTTGTTTAACGAAGTGAACTTATATGTAAACAATTGTATTGCATTACAAGTTTTGCACTTAAATGCTACAAATAAAACAAATACTGCAAAAACAAACAATATTATGTCCAGCGTTGGGGGTAACGCATTGCAAGTTACACGAGCTATGTAATAATAATACTTTTCGAGTATGCAATGAGTAAGGTAATGCATTACTTTTCAAAAAATAGGTAACAATATTTGAGTTTTTTAAAAATGTAATGCAATTTACTTTTTACTTTAATTAATTGTCTTTTAAAAAAT